AATCTGACAAATTTAGTTTGCAGTTTGAAGAACAGTGAAGAATGCCACTAACAAGTCTGATACTGATAACAGACAGTAAGATGTCAGATGTCTAAAGTTTCCATGCAGGACATTTTTACAGCTATTCGTGTTTCCTCAAATCAAATACACTTCACGAAACTTGAAGAGTAACTACGATCCATCGACTGCTGTCAGCCTAGTACTAGACGTTGTAGTGCCGTGTGTGAGACTGATCAAGTAGCAGGGTCTGCAGGTCTAGACGTTGTAGTGCCGTGTGTGAGACTGATCAAGTAGCAGGGTCTGCAGGTCTAGACGTTGTAGTGCCGTGTGTGAGGCTGATCAAGTAGCAGGGTCTGCAGGTCTAGACGTTGTAGTGCCGTGTGTGAGACTGATCAAGTAGCAGGGTCTGCAGGTCTAGACGTTGTCGTGCCGTGTGTGAGGCTGATCAAGTAGCAGGGTCTGCAGGTCTAGATGTTGTAGTGCCGTGTGTGAGACTGATCAAGTAGCAGGGTCTGCAGGTCTAGACGTTGTAGTGCCGTGTGTGAGACTGATCAAGTAGCAGGGTCTGCAGGTCTAGACGTTGTAGTGCCGTGTGTGAGGCTGATCAAGTAGCAGGGTCTGTAGGTCTAGACGTTGTAGTGCCGTGTGTGAGACTGATCAAGTAGCAGGGTCTGCAGGTCTAGACGTTGTAGTGCCGTGTGTGAGGCTGATCAAGTAGCAGGGTCTGTAGGTCTAGACGTTGTAGTGCCGTGTGTGAGACTGATCAGGTAGCAGGGTCTGCAGGTCTAGACGTTGTAGTGCCGTGTGTGAGACTGATCAAGTAGCAGGGGCTGTAGGTCTAGACGTTGTAGTGCCGCGTGTGAGGCTGATCAAGAGGCAGGGTTTGTAGGTCTAGATGTTGTAGTGCCGCGTGTGAGACTGATTAAGAGGCAGGGTTTGTAGGCCTAGATGTTGTTGTGTCATGTGTGAGACTGATCAAGGGGCAGGGTCTGCAGGTCTAGATGTTGTAGTGTCATGTGTGAGACTGATCAAGAGGCACGGTCTGTAGGTCTAGATGTTGTAGTGTCATGTGTGAGACTGATCAAGGGGCAGGGTTTGTAGGTCTAAACGTTGTAGTGTCATGTGCGAGACTGATCAAGAGGTGGGGGGTGGGGGGGGGGGGGGGGGGGGGGGGAGGTCTGTGGGTCTAGACATTGTAGTGTCAGGGTCTATACTTAATTCGGGTAGGTGGTCCCGTTTAATACTTAGATTTGTTTGATTGTTTGTTTGTTGTTTAACACCGCACCCATCTATATAAGACAATCCGTGACTGATATCATGAGCATCGATCGATGCAATTGCAACAACCAAGTCAGCAAGCCTGCCTACCCGTTAGTCGCCTCTTACGACAACCATAGTCGCCACTTCGGCAAGGATGGGTTGCTGAACCAGATCTTCACGGGTCTTAATATACTTCCATGGTCCTCTTTATTACTGCAGGGATGGGTTTGTCTACGCAAATGAGATACGATGACATTTGTGAATTATATGGATATTTTTTTTTTAAATTACAGCAAAATCATTATATTTTTTCTTTGTAGTCCTCAACTACAGGCAAAGAGCAGAAATATGCATGTACTTAAAACCATTTGTTTGTGTGTAAACCAAGTCATAAGAAATGTGGCCTAACGTTCCCAGACCTCAATAATGGTCGGTATTCGGCATCAGGGAAAGTGTGTATACATCAATACAGTTCTGCACTTCCGCACCTTGTTTGGAGTATAACACCTTTTCGAATATGTTTATACCTGCGATTGTGAGAAGCAAATCTCATTTGCTAAAGATGGGAGGCAATGGCTGCTGACGATCTTACTCTCGCCAGGCCCACACCTCCCAGCATACACAGACACAGATATATAAACAGAGTGATTTAGTCGCTGCGGGTACATCATTCTCCGTCTCCATTCTCACGCTATACCAGTCATCGTGATATGATTTAATGTTCTTCATTGAAGGATGATAGCCGCGAATAGCTGGAACATTGCTGATGTGACTAAAAGCAACAATTACTCACTCATTCGTTGAAGGATGGCTCCAGACACAGACAATCGGCTTTGTTTTAAGTCTACTGGTTATAGCATGTAAGTAACGGCATATACACTGTAAAATATGTCAAAAATGTAAACACATAGAAGACATGGTTAGATCTAAGCATGATTAGGAATGGGTATAAATCCTAAACGGAATACACATTTGGTTCATCTGAACGCATTTCGGTCTAAACACACAAAATGCGCTATCGTCTCACAGCCTAAAAACAACCTAAACAACCCCCATAATCTAAACGTGCAGAATGTAAAGTTAACACGTTTCAACATGTTTGCGAGATGATTGCTCATTTCATGTGTTTAGACCCTAAACGTGTTTAGATAGAACAAACCAAATGTGTATACCGTTTTTCATTAAAACACATTCCTAAACATGTTTAGATCTAAACATGTCTTGTATGTGTTTACATTCTAAACACATTTTTTACAGTGTACTCATATATACACTTATATAAATGCATACACTAGCTATACACACGCAGTTATACACACAATGTCCATATATGCACTCTCTATACACACCGTATACTAGTATACTAGTATGCCCCTCATGTCCTGGAATGTCCCTTAGCTGAACTGATTCTGTCCATATGAATGTTAAACTGGAATCAATCAATAAAATCATTTATCTTTGTTTTAATCAATATCCCGCCGTTTTGTATTACAAAATGCATTTACATGTGGTCGTTCAGTTTAATAGATTATAACTATTTACAGCAGCCTCCCATGCAACATGGCCCCGTTCCACGAAGTGATCTTAGCGCTAAGGTGATCGTAACTCCCATACTTTAAACAAAGACTTACGGCAGTCGTGGCGCTACGATCGCTTTGTGGAGCGGGGCCTGATGGGGACTGCGATTACACTCATACTCTCTGTTGGGCTTTTCTCCCCCGACAAGGCAGACACACCGACATGACTGGTTCCAGTATTGGAATCCAGGTTTTGTTGTCTAGCTATGCCTTTTCACTAACACCCCCGACTCAGATAATGCCAGTAATGAAATCACTCTCTCCGGTGTCTTACCCCAAGACCATGACCATTAGCCTATAGCATCAATACTTTCTGTCGTGCAGATATCATCTAGTGCTATGAAATGACAAAATGGGTTTGTGAATGGAGTCTGCATTGTACCGGGGTGCAATTGTGAATGCAGTGAAACTTTGTTACAAAGGAGATTGAATATGACACCTATTTGAGGGGCAAACCGGATTTTCGAATTCAAACATACCGTATTTCCTCTAATTAAAAGCATCGTCGCTTATTCTTTGAACAAGCTTCCAAGCCCGGTGCTAATTAGAGACCAGTCTCTTAATATTTCAACTACGGTGTTGTATAAGCTACAGGCACTAATAAATTGACATGTTCTTGATACAGAATATATTTCAAGAAAGTGAACATCGCAGTATGAAATTGCAAGTGCTACAACATTGATAAACATTCAAAGAACACCCATCAGCTCTGTAATTACTACGGTGCTGATAAGCGACCCGGCTTTGGCTGTGTTCGCTGCTTCCTACCGACGCTTATTCGAGGAAATACGGCATTTGGTTATCTCAAATCAGTGCAAACATATTATTCTGTATATTTCTATCTTGCGTATGATGTGTCACTTGTTCTGTACATATTTATAAGCAACCATGAAGTAATCTAAATGTATGTTTGCGTTGCTATTACCAGACAAAATAGACCCGTGAAGATCCAAGTAGGGAATAGATCTTCAGGAACGCATGCTTGCCGTAAGAGACAACTATGCTTGTCGTCAGAGTAACGGGATAGGGTGGTAAGGCTCACTGACTTGGTTGATGCATGTCATCGTATCCCAATTGCGTAGATCGATGCTCATGGTGTCAATCACTGGATTGTCTGGTCCAGATTCGATTATTTACATGCCACCGTCATATAGCTTGAATATTGCTGAGTGCGGCGTAAACAACAGACAAACAAACAGACAAAATAATACAAACGAGAATATTTAAACGTACATGTATAAATGCATCGGTATTAATGAGAGACGTCGTTCTCCATGTGCTTAAAAGGGACAATGAATTATTCACTTCAGCCTAAAGCGGCTGTGAGATGGTCGAGTGGGTGGAGACTGGGTTCGTCACGCCGAAGATCCGGGTTCTGTTCCAGACTGGATACAATGTATGAATACCATTCGTGTCCTATCCCACAATGATTTGGCTGAACTAATTTAGAAGGTAAATAAAACCTTACACATTCATCTCATCTTGGGGGACTTTTCAACTATAAACAGAATACATAAAGCGATCGTCAGAGATAGCCTGTCGCAGACTTTCTCGTTCAGTAGTACATGCATTTTCAAAATCCCCAAATTCCCATGTAGCGGTCGGAACTTAAGGTAAAGTAAATTATTAAAGGGATACTCTGGTGAGAGGACTGGTGTCCATTTATCCCGCGTTGTAGACTTTGTAATTAATTGTCAATGTCTGTGAAATTCGGGTAAACATTAACTGCTATATTGATATGCATAAAAAAATATCAACAACAGGGAGTAGCAATCATTATTTCAGGGAGTTAAATCTCATTTACTGCACCTGCCAATTTGCCCGAACAAAGTCCCCCATTAATAATTCAAACAGGTTCCTTATGTCCGCGGTCAAAGGCCTCAGCTCAGTACCATCCATCACTTGGTTTCGTGATCTCGTTAAGTCTGACCGATGTACAAGAGAAACAGCGATATCTAGCGTGCAGCGACCATTCCAAGGCCCCTGTGTAAGGATACAGTGTTGCATGAGACCCACTATGACGAATCTGTTGTGTGTGACGCGAACGGATAAGTGTTGAATCTAACATTATAGTTTATTTTTGCCAAGTGTGTGAATTTAGGTTAAGAGTCCCACTTGCAAGCACTTGTGTCATGACGAGGAGGTTTGTTGGTCTGTACAAGCAGTCAATGTCTGTATAAATCTTGCCGCTGTATGTCACGGGGGATGCTATGCAGCCTGGGGCACGGCGCGGCGTAACAAGGAAACAGTGCTCATTCGGAAGCGCGTGACGTGTGACGGGAAACGTAATATAAATTGTATATATGATGAAGATATATATCTATATCAACGCGGCAAGGAACGCTGTCACGGATGTGACGTCTGGACATTTTCATCGAAGATGAATAAGGAAAAAGGATGTGAACACGGATGTGAACAGGGAGATTTCATTGAGATTGCTACCTGGTAAGTGAATTTCTTGAATAATGTTCTGTCACGTGATAAAAAGTTACAAAATATGTCAGGATCTTGTAAATAAAGATAGTCTGCACTCCCTGTAAGGCTAGCCTTTTCCTTAAATGATAGCTAGTCCAAGAACAGTGAAACCCCGCACATTCAGACTAGTGGAATTGACCTGATTAACAATAATCTAGATTAATGAATCGCGGTCATAGAGTAATGTATTGTGTATATTTAGACGTTCCAAGAGACTAGCGGTTTCGAACTATAGCGGTGTCCTGATTAACGGGGTATGACCTATAGAAGAGTCCGGATTAGCGGGGTCCGAACTATACCGGTGCCCGGATCCACGGGGTATAAGCTATAGAGGGGTCCGGATTAGCGGGGTCCGAACTATAGCGGTGCCCGGATCCACGGGGTATGAGCTAAAGAGGAGTCCGGATTAGCGGGGTCCGAACAATGTAGGGTCGGATTCGCGGGGTCCGAACTATAGGGTGCCCGGATTCACGGGTAATGAGCAAAAGAGGGGTCCGCATTAGCGGGGTCCGAACTATATAGGGACCCGGATTAGCGGGGTCCGAATTATAGCGGTATCCGGATTAACGAGGTGAAATTGTATATCATATTTACATATATCCAGCGGCCATTGTGATCTCTCTAAGCCTGCATTTTATATAGGCAATTGGGCCTGTCGTCCCACAAGCCTCCAACAACGAACGAACAAGCTGTTGATGTAAAACACGAAAGGAGGTTTGGAGGGCAAAGTGTGGTTTGAGGGGTCGATGGTTAAGGATGTTGGTACATGATATTCCCTCTGAATATATAGATATAACAGCCACATAACTCAGGTCTATAAATACGTTTCATAACACTGTGACATAATGTGATGTCGCATGCACAGACATGTATACTTATTTCTGTGATTGCGACTGTCAAAACCACCTGTCCAGTAGCCGGCTACCGAGCCTCCACAGACAGTAATACCCACACGCAGACGTGCTGTCATAACGGGTCCGCATTCTCGGCTGACGAATTAGTGCTGTAGTCAGTAAACCGTGCTTAACATGAACCTACATCTTCGTGCTTGTAACGTGTTGGTGATGAGATTGTAGGTGCAGTGTTTATGGTTCAGGTCGCGACTGTTTTATCTCCCTGTACGCTTTTATGGTAGACTTTGGGCCTTTGTAGAGTTATCTAAGTGGCCTACTGTTGTTGTTGTTGTTGTTTGGTATTGATATTTGTGGTGGTAGTAGTAATAGAAGTAGTAGCAGCAGCAGCAGTGGTAGTAGTAGTAGTAGTAGTAGTAGTAGTAGTAGTAGAAGTAGTAGTAGTAGAAGTAGTAGTATCCCATTTTAATCAAGTAATTTTAAAGTCGGTAGAGTTTTATTGGCACGGTGGTCTGCTGTCGGTACACCGCTTATCTCGAACTCCGGGAACCTCGACATAACTGTGCTTCATTGTGTTCCTGGGGATAGGAGCCCCTCCGTGGTCTACTGAGCGACCGCCTGGGGAGCGAAAGGTCCGGGGTTCCATCCTTGGCAGCGTCATGCCAAAAGACGATGAAAGATGGTACTTGTTATTACCCTGCCTGGTGCAAGGCAATCGGGGATAAAACAAGGACTGGTCGGCTCGGAGCCAGTATACTTTGTCTGAGTTGGGTAGTCTCGTTAAACCGCGGCATGGTATCTCAGTTGGCTAGCAACTTAAAATCGGCATTAGTCCGGCCTTGTACAAGCAGCCACACAAACAGACACACACACAAACAGACACACACACAAACAGACACACACACAAACAGACACACAAGCACGCGCGCGCCTGCACGCATGTCGCTATATAAGTCTTGAACGCTGCGTTGAACCCCATTTCACCTCACGTCCTTGGGAAAGAGGTTATTATTGCCTCTCTTTTTTTCTTTTATTAAGTGGTACAAAGTATGTCTGCTTCATATGGAGAGAAGCATAAAAATTATGTATTTTATTGCAATATAGCAAACATATATTTATCAACCAATGACATATTTATGGCGTCTCTTATTGTGCCCATGCCCGTAACTTCCGAGATAAACAGGTTAGACCTGAATTAAAAAAACAGAGAGTGCCATATATTGCCCTTCGCGCGTGATTTATTGCTACATACATGTATGTCAAAACATGTCCATGGTAAATGCTTTAATCTAATCAGCCCCGATGCACAAACCAATCATTGGGCCTCGACTGTCGTAGCTGTTCCTTACGATAGCACAGACATCTGACAGCATTTATCTCCTTAATATCGAGTGCCAGGCGGGGTAACAAAAAGTACTACATTCTAACGCAACCGGGGATTGAACCCCCGACTTTCCACACTCCGGGCAAACGCTCATCCAACAGCCAAAGTAGGGGATCTTCGACTTAATTAGTCCACCTAATATTCCGTGATAAAATTGAAATACTGTTAAAAACAGCACTCATTGGCTAAAATACCGTTTGACAGTCTGGTAGGTAAGGAGAGTTGAGGTGAAATGGGGTTGAGATACCATACCGCAGTTTAACATGAATACCCCACTCAGACACAATATAGTGCGGTGTTAAACCAACCAACCACAATATACTGACTACGAGCCGACCTGTCCTTGTTTTAGCCCCTTAATGTCGAACGCCAGGACAATAACAACAAGAACCATCTTTTAACGTATTTTGGTATGACGCGGCCAGGGTTAAACTCACGACCTTCCGCTCTCCGGGTGGACTCTATACCACTGGCGGTTCTGGTAAGTAAATGAGGTTCTATATCAAAATGTAAACGATGGAAGTCAACCTTCTGACAAGAGCTGTATGTACCATTCCTGACAATGAAGGAAAACTAGTTTTTAACATAAATGCCATATTAAATCAGGTGAACTCACAACCGGGACTTTTCAAGAAATAATAATCAGAGAACAATGTTACCATTTGATTCGGAATCAATACTCATTTAAGAACTGTTGGCGACACTTACCATAGAATTCACGGATTTATTTATTTAAGCTAAAAGCTTATTTGATCTGCACTCAATAACTGGAAAGACAAGGGCGGCGCTAAGCAAATAACACATTATCACAAAATCTAATCAAGTTTATTTTATTCAAATCTAAATAATCGGTTGGTACAACAAGCTTAAAAAGCATTCCTGTAGGAGTCTTACAACTACTTGAGACTAAACATCAACACACAGAGAAGCACAAGGCACGCATGTGCGTGGGAATCTCACATGGTATTTGTCTTTAAAGCCGAGTTGGAGCACCGCTAAGAGTTGTTGGAGAGCAAATTAAATATGGCCGCTCACTGCGTGGACAAGCATCCGTTTCCGCTATTGATGAGGTTAAAGCTCCTCACAGAGATCTAGGAGTCACATGAGTATGGTTCACACCATAAAGCGCTTCATGTGCACCTTGTGGGAGTTGGAGAATTGCGTGGCCATACAGTGGGTATATAGTGTGGGACACTCGTTAAAGCTTCATGTGGGTGGATCTGATGAGTGACTATATGTTTTGACTGACGATACAGAAACTTTCCAACATTCTCAGAGGAGTGCTTCAGGTCAAAGGACCTCGGATGTTTTCCGCTTGTTTTACAGTGACAGGTAGGTTCTGGTGGAAGATATAATACTGGTTCCTCCTGAAGATTTCTTCAGGTGGAATTTATATCCAAGAAAAATTCTCCGGAACTAAAATCTTGGAACTATATTACACGAGTGGGAAGTTAATTCCGGTCAGCGGTATTTCACAATCGCATATATAAAACCTCTTCTCAAATCACATAGTATCCGATGCTATTTTCGTAAAAGGGTTGGGTTGGTGGAATTAAAATTAGAAATTAAAAGCCATTTGTTTAGTTGATGAACCCAATTCTCGAGCGAGTCAAATTAAACAAAACAGAAGTTACTTGTTTTAATGAATAGTCTGAGGGTGATGGTCACTATTCATATTTTGATTGTATTTAATTATTTCTGTCATTTTTTGAAGTTATATTTCAACACTTTTGATATTAAGGTGTCCGTAAATCATGTTATTAAAAAAATCACACATCACCTCTTTCGATGAAAACCAGATGCTTAATAGAACACTATCCTACATAAAAGCCGTGAAAAACTGCACATTTCATCCTGTCCCTTTGGTCCAAACGTTGTGAAACAATAAATCAAATTGATTAATGAAGTTTTATATATTTTATCATTCGGGTTGTTATAATTAAGTTCTGTTTTAAGCATGAAGGTCGCAACTTATTGACATATTTTACTGACTAACGATGGCGTTACCAAAGATTAGGGGAAATGGTGTTTTTATTAATACCCATGCTTGATGTATTGCGATGTCTCGTGTCATCTGGAACAAGAATGGCTAATCTTTCTTCTGTAATGAGCAAAACTATTCCCTTATGCTAGGCCGATGTCCTGTTACTAGGAATCTGTTGTGAGTGATATGATCCCGGGGAACTATGCAGTGAGTGATATGATCCTGGGGAACTATGCAGTGAGTGATTGTTAGAAAGAACAATTCTGCAGTTCAGGAATTCGTTCGTTGTTCAATCTTATACATTTTTCGATTTGGGTAAAAAATGAGCCCTGATAGGGATGGGGGCCCCACACTCATACTCACATCACACACGGAAATCGATATACACTCCACCCCTCGCTCACACACACACACACAGACACAGAGACACAGTCTAAGCAACACACAGTGTATTCTCATGCCCCAACCACTCGGGCTGGACATACAACGACGGTGCTACACAGCAACGGTTAAAAATTCACAAAAGGGTTGCCATAGCTATGGACACAAGGAAGCATAGTTGGAGAAGGTGAAATAGTTTGGGGTCATTCAACTCGGAACTCATTAATCCATCCTGGTTTGTTTTTAAAGACAATCTGGATACAATTAGTGCAGTATGTCGCTAACACTAATGGGCGTTATGGCCATGGAGGCATAGTAACAGACACTGTAGTGACACTCAATCAAACATTGTGGAGCGTTGCCGTGGAGGCTTGTGGTTAATGACATTTATCATGATAGACAAACCCTTGAATCCGACAAGACCACACCAATCGTGTGATCGAAGTTCTTACGAGGATACGCCGCTTGTTTGATGTGGAGATAAAGATGCGATGACCTGATTACCAGTTCATCAGAAAAGAATTCCTTTTTGTGAAGAAAAGCAAACAATTTAATTGATCGTTTGTGTTATTACTTATAAAGTACCGTCCTTGTGCTATTACGAAACAAAGAGGATATTTTATAAATAATTAAGTTTAATACCTAAATATGGCTGTAAGTACATACTCATCGATTAAGCATGTTTAATTATTAATATTCCATTATTTATAATATGAACATCATCGGAAAAAACAGTACCAAACAAAACGTGCTAACATTTAAAAAATATGTTTTCGAAAAAGCATGCGATCATTAGGTGTGTGTGTGTGTGTGTGTGCGTGTGCGTGTGTGTGTGTGTTAAATCATCATGATATATTTAAAATATGCTCTATGCCTTAACTTCAAATATTGGTACATATATCGTGCGTGCGTGCGTTTGTACGTGGTGAACCCGAAAACGTATTCGACGCGGCCATTTTCTCGAAAGTGAGCATACGACAAGGGCGGGTAACTCTCACTATTAACGTCACCGGGGTGCGACACCGGAAATGGACTTTGCACCGATGGATAGAATCTCTCCCGGGCCTTTGGCTTTAACCACAAGGCTACCCAACAGGGCATTACTGTGATATTACTTGGGTAGCTGAATAAGCAGAATATATCCGAGGAATGAGTAGTGTGCACTGTAAAAATGTGTAAATTTCTAAACACAAACCTAAACACGTTCCTTGTCCCATAATTGTGACACGTTTGGGGTCTAAACATGTTTAGGATTGTGCTAAACGTATTTAGGATCTAAACGTGGGAAACACCCGTATCCCGAGGCGGTGTTTAGCTGTGAGAACATGTTTATTCTATTATAGGATGATACACAACGATTTGCGTTTTGTCGTAAACATATTTACACTCTGAAGATGTTTAGATTATCGGGGTGTTGTGTTTAGGTGGTATGTAGTCTGTGAGAAGATGGCTAATTTTATGTGTTTAGACCCTAAACGTGTAGATGGAACACACCAAATGTGTATTCCGTTTAGGATTTAAACACATCCCTGAACACGTCTAGGTCTAAACATGTTTTGTATGTGTTTACATTCTTAACACATTTTTACAGTGTATTTTCAAGGTAATCAGTGTCAGTGAGTATGGTTTTACGCCGCTTTTAGCAATATTCCAGCAATATCACGGCGGGGGACACCAGAAATGGGCTTCACACATTGCACCCATGTCGAGAATCGAACGCGGGTCTTCGGCGTGACGAGCAAGGCAACCACTAGGCTACACGACCGCCCCTTCAAGGTAATCAAGAATTCAACAACGCATCGATCTTCATTAGAAGTTGTTGTTGTTGTTGGTCTGTTGTTTAACGCCGTACTCAGCAATATTCCAGCTATATGACGGCGGTCTGTAAATAATCGAGTCTGGAACAGACAATCCAGTATTTAATATCATGAACATCGATCCATGCAATTAGGATCGATGACATGCATCAACCAAGTCAGCGAGCCTGACCACCCGATCCCGTTAGTCGCCTCTTACGACAAGCATAGTCGCCTTTTACGGCAAGCATGTTTTGCTGAAGACCTATTCTACCCCGGAATCTTCACGGGTCCATTAGAAGTAAAAAAGAACGAGCGGAATTGATTGTGCTTTTGTCGGGCCTTCAGGTTGTAGTGAGTAATGAGACTTGACAGCAAGTAGAGTATGTCCATGGCACCTGTTATTGATGTCTATACAAACAGTCCGGAGTAAAAGACACTACCAAATGATTAATGACGGGAGAAAATCATTTAAAGTGTGGCGGGTAAAGTTCGATTTTCTGTTCTGTGGAATCGGAGGAGTAATCAAACATTTACTTCAATCACACATAAAATAGATCGCGTTTCGGGTGTTTTTTATTTCAACACCAGGGCCTGTTTTATAGATAACCGGAGGCGCGCTTGGCCAAGTGGGCGTGGCCGCTTCAATTAGCTGTACGGAGTTGAGTCCCTTAGTCGAATCCTTACCAATGATATTGGGGTCGAATCCTAGTTTTGCCACAATTATGATCCTTAGCTTGACTACACTATACGCGAGGGTCGTGGGTTTCACCGTAGTTATTGTTTATGAGTGAGTGAGCGAGTATGGTTTGACGCCGCTTTTAGCAATATTCCAGCAATATCACGGCGGGGGACACCAGAAATGGGTTTCACACATTGTACCCATGTCGGGAATCGAACCCGGTTCTTCGGCGTGACGAGCGAACGCTTTAACCACCAGGCTACCCGACCGCCCCTGGTGATGTTTATGACCTGCATTACTCCGTGGTTTTTCCCACTCGACGCCAACACGACATGATACAGTAAAACCTTGTTAATTCGGGCACATCTTTAACGTCCGGATTAATGAATTATGGTAATATACGAAGAAGAAGAAATTTGTATTGTAGTTTATAAGTGTGTCCTGCAGTGCAAAATGACGAAGTTATAGTAGCGAATACAATGATGTACACTGTCTGGCCAACATGCATAGCATATCAGCACAAAACGTAACACTAAATTACTCAAAATTCTGTCACACTCATACAACACACCACGCCACATCCACTCCCACACTCATACAACGCACCACGACACAGCTACTCCCACACCCATACAACGCACCACGCCACATCCACTTTCACTTTCATACAACGCACCACGCCACATTCACTCTCGCACACATACAACGCACCACGCCACATTCACTCTCACACCCATACAACGCACCACGCCACATCCGCTCCCACACCCATACAACGCACCACGCCACATCCGCTCTCACACCCATACAACGCACCACGCCACATCCACTCTCACACCCATACAACGCATCACGCCACATCCACTCTCACACCCATACAACGCACCACGCCACATCCACTCTCACACCCATACAACGCACCACGCCACATCCACTCTCACACCCATACAACGCACCACGCCACATCCACTCTCACACCCATACAACGCACCACGCCACACCAATTCTCACAGCCATACAACGCACCACGCCACATCCACTTTCACACCCATACAACGCACCACGCCACATCCACTCTCACACCCATACAACACTCCACGCCACATCCACTCTCACACCCATACAACGCACCACGCCACATCCACTCTCACACCCATACAACGCACCACGCCACACCAATTCTCACAGCCATACAACGCACCACGCCACATCCACTTTCACACCCATACAACGCACCACGCCACATCCACTCTCACACCCATACAACACTCCACGCCACATCCACTCTCACACCCATACAACGCACCACGCCACATCCACTTTCACACCCATACAACGCACCACGCCACATCCACTCTCACACCCATACAACACTCCACGCCACATCCACTCTCACACCCATACAACGCACCACGCCACATCCACTCTCACACCCATACAACGCACCACGCCACATCCACTCTCACACCCATACAACGCACCACGCCACATCCACTTTCACACCCATACAACGCACCACGCCACATCCACTCTCACACCCATACAACGCACCACGCCACATCCACTCTCACACCCATACAACACTCCACGCCACATCCACTCTCACACCCATACAACGCACCACGCCACATCCACTCTCACACCCATACAACGCACCACGCCACACCAATTCTCACAGCCATACAACGCACCACGCCACATCCACTTTCACACCCATACAACGCACCACGCCACATCCACTTTCACACCCATACAACGCACCACGCCACATCCACTCTCACACCCATACAACACTCCACGCCACATCCACTCTCACACCCATACAACGCACCACGCCACATCCACTCTCACACCCATACAACAGACCACGCCACACCAATTCTCACAGCCATACAACGCACCACGCCACATCCACTCTCACACCCATACAACACTCCACGCCACATCCACTCTCACACCCATACAACGCACCACGCCACATCCACTCTCACACCCATACAACGCACCACTCCACATCCGCTCCCATACAACGCACCACGCCACATCCACTCTCACACCCATACAACGCACCACATCCATTCTCACACCCATACAACGCATCACACCACATCCACTCTCACACTCATACAACACACCACGCCACATCCACTCTTACACCCATACAACGCATCACGTTTTCAGAACTAACATGGTTTCATTGTAATTAAAATACTGATAATAAGAATAAGTTTACATTGTGACATCAATGTTAACTTTATAATCGTTAAAAAGGATGAGTATTTACATTGATACATCTGTGCTATCCCAGCCTGCATCCGTAAGAAGAATTGCCTGATCCAAATGGTGATATATGTGAAAACTCATGTGATATAACATTGCAAAAGTGGGTGCGTAGCTGTTTGACAAAGACCAAGCTCATTTCTTTGTTCTTTTCTTTCAGACGGTTGCGTTTCTGCGATTTCTCCAGTTGCATTGAACACTCACTTCAAGAACAGCGGAGGGATTAACCAGTTGAACCCAAGAATAACGCATGTTTCTGTGCATGTAAGCGTGGTGTAGAAGCTCATCCGTACAAGATAAGTGATAATTTAACTTGATGGACGACAACACACATATCGCAGTTGCACCAGGGTCTCCTGTGACTGACAACTTTGAGCCATGTATGTGCGGCATGTTGACGAGGAAAATTAGCATCTTCATTTGCTGGATCAGATAGACGTTCACCTTCAGCGTATACACCAACACCAAACATGAAGGATCATTACAGTTTCTGCCTCCAGCGTGTAGCCTCGCTGATGGGCGACACCACTGTAAATACAAAGGCTTCTTCACTGATTCAACGCGTGTGCCTCAACGTCACCCATATTTTGAACGTCACACAACGTTACAGTCTGATGGACCTTGAACAAGAGGCCCCTGTGGATCTAGCCGTGCCCCTCATGGGCTACGCTGCCCCTGTGGTCGTCTTCCTGACGCTGGTGTTGAATGCTGTCGTTGTCGTCGTTCTCACTCGGCGGCGACTCAGGTCGCCCACAAACGTCATACTCGTCTCCATCGCAGCCTGTGATACATTCACAGCATTGTTCTCATTACCTGGATATATGTATACGTACACTTACGAAGGTTACCGGAATTACCCGAGTATGGGATGGTGTTATGTGTTGACCTACCTATGCCGGTTTACCCCACAAGTTCTCCACACAGTGTCACTGTGGTTGACAGCATTACTTGCGTTTCAACGTTACGTAGGTGTCGCTCAAATGGTGTGCAGAACTTGGATCAGTCGCTACAAAGGTGTGGCTTTGTCGATCGTGTTTTTAGGCATATTTTCGTTCATATCTCACTGTTTTCAGCTCTTTCTTGTCTTAAAACCTGTGACTGTAATCGGAAAAGAATTATTCACTCCGACAGGTATTCAGATCTCGAACACTTGTTACAGACATTTAGCTGTTATAGAGAATGTGGACTATTTCTCCTATGTGTATACGTGGGTGAGACTAACCCTTGCCCAGGTTCTACCCTGTTGCCTTCTGCTAGTGTTCAACCTCTGCCTCATCAGGGCTACATACAGAAGCTATACATATAGGCGACGCCTGGTTGTTGGACACAAGCTTTCCGAATCCTCGGACACGAAAAACACAATCCGGATCTCGTTAATGTTGCTTCTCGTAACGTGCTGCACGTGCATGTTTGAAATGTTTGTTGACGTAAATCTGGTTTTAAATTTCGCCCAAATTTATTCAAAACGCTTTTTGGTTTCCGCGGACACATTAGGCAGGCTTCTCCTTGTCAGTAATTTTACAATCATCCTTTCGTTTCCTCTCAACTTCTTCTTTTACTTCGCGTTCAGCACCAACTTCCGGGTCATGATTTTGTCATGTGTGAAACCGAGGCTCAAGCGGAAGATCACACCTAACAGAGTAACACCAGGTGTCGACGGGCGGAGTACACATCACTTCAGCCTGACTCATTTTCAGAAGCAAAGACATAGCAATGGATACAACGGTAGTGTTCTGTGAATATGAAATTCGACAAAAATAAAATACGTTCCGGCGACAATTTGAACAGTACAGAAATGTGCAAGGAAGGTGATTCATGACTGGATAATCATGTGCGTGCGCTCTGTAATAATCTGCGTTGTTGTGAGAACAATTAAAGTTACAAACATCATCCCAATGATGTATCAACTTAAGGATTCCGGCCATAATGGGTCCCCGAATCATCAGTATGGGGGGCTGGTGGCTACAATGTTTGACTTGACCCCGCGTGGTTCGTTGTCCGTCAGTTCCGATTACAGGCCGTTGTATTTCCAATGAAGGTCTAGATGTTATAAACAATTTGTTCACTGTGACATTGTGTATGTGTAATTAGGGCTATCATCAGCTGGTAGAGCATTGTTCATTATACAAATTTAGTTATCAGGTCAATAATTATATTTTGAGAATTGACTCCCTATTTTGGCAAATGCACTTTCATCTGACCCAAGCCTCGCACCTTTTAACATTACTATCCCCCGCCACGAAGTGGGGCGGGGGATATAGGAACGGAGTTTGTCCGTCCGTCCGCCCGCTTCTCTAAGTGCACAAATTTGCTCCAAAACTATTTACGTCAGAGGAATAAAACGGATGTTACTGGTCATAATCTCAAATAAGTTCGAAAATTGGTGTCGTAAATTCATTTATTACAGAGTTATGGCCCTTGATCCGTGCTTTTCAACTTGCAGTGCATACTGCATGAAATGGGAACAAGTTTTCTCAGAAACCACTAAAGTTACATGAATGAGAGTTTGCATGCTTATCTAAGAGATACTTGTCAAGACTGAGTTCCAAGATTGGTCCCGTAAATTATGTTTTACAGCGTTACGGCCGTTGGCCCATGCTATTTTACTTAGTGCATAGTTTCTGCAAAGGAGACAAGTCATTTTACTAAGTGCATAGTTTCTGCAAAGGAGACAAGTCATTTTACTTAGTGCATAGTTTCTGTAAAGGAGACAAGTCATTTTACTTAGTGCATAGTTTCTGCAAAGGAGACAAGTCATTTTACTTAGTGCATAGTTTCTGCAAAGGAGACAAGTCATTTTACTTAGTGCATAGTTTCTGTAAAGGAGACAAGTCATTTTACTTAGTGCATAGTTTCTGCAAAGGAGACATGTCATTTTACTTAGTGCATAGTTTCTGCAAAGGAGATAAGTTATTTTACTCAGTGCATAGTTTCTGCAAAGGAGACAAGTCATTTTACTTAGTGCATAGTTTCTGCAAAGGAGACAAGTCATTTTACTTAGTGCATAGTTTCTGCAAAGGAGACAAGTCATTTTACTTAGTGCATAGTTTCTGCAAAGGAGATAAGTTATTTTACTTAGTGCATAGTTTCTGCAAAGGAGACAAGTCCTTTTACTTAGTGCATAGTTTCTGCAAAGGAGACAAGTCATTTTATTTAGTGCATAGTTTCTGCAAAGGAGACAAGTTATTTTACTTGGTGCAGAGTTTCTGCAAAGGAGACAAGTCATTTTACTTAGTGCATAGTTTCTGCAAAGGAGACAAGTCATTTTACTTAGAGCATAGTTTCTGCAAAGGAGACAAGTCATTTTACTTAGTGCATAGTTTCTGCAAAGGAGACAAGTCATTTTACTTAGTGCATAGTTTCTGCAAAGGAGACAAGTTATTTAACTTAGTGCATAGTTTCTGCAAAGGAGACAAGTCATTTTACTTAGTGCATAGTTTCTGCAAAGGAGACAAGTCATTTTACTTAGTGCATAGTTTCTGCAAAGGAGACAAGTTATTTTACTTAGTGCATAGTTTCTGCAAAGGAGACAAGTCATTTTACTTAGTGCATAGTTTCTGGAATGTGGTGACATGTTTTCTCAGAAACTACTGAAGATTATCTAAGAGATATTTATTAAGACAGTTATTGTTTTGCAGAGGTGTGTAGTTATGTCACATTTAATCATTTTTTCTGATGGCATAAAGAGATCCAAGTGCTTGTCTTTTCTAAAGGCTTTATGATACTTTTTTGTATACTTTATATTCACTACTATATCAATGAACAACATTCTAATGTGCCCCATGGCGGGGATAGTGATTACGCTGTTTTCTTGTTGTTTCTTAATGTCTTGGATTCCCTAGGGCTAGAATCTCAAGTAGTGCATGATGTCATCATTGGTTGTCAGTGGTCCATTCATATCATTTTCACAGCTATTTTGCCCTTAACCCCAGACGGAATATCTTTCGGCGGACAATCAAGACTGGTTATTTTCTTGCATTGACGTTTAATATTTAAACAATAGTGACTCTGAATTTACCTTTCAAAGAAAATGCTGTGAACCGGTTGTGTGATATGTGCATGTCTAAGTTAGCTGACAAATCGTCAATGATGTTGTTGATAAAAGATGGTGTAATTATTGTTTTTAGAATACCTAAGGATATCAGCCGCGTCGTGTTGGTTCATTACAATGTGTCCGTCGTGTTTGTCAGACTATAACTGCCTTCTGGTACAGGCAGGTGTAAGTCATATAATATATATAATCTTACACGCAGTTGATATGATTTTAATAAACTATGTGGTTGTGTTTTTGCCTTGCCATGTGATTATTATTATTGTTGAATAAAAATACAAGTTGATTTATTAGTCAGATTGAGTTTTTAGAAGTGTGTATATATCCTTGAAAGATACGAGCTATTACTGGCTCCCACCTCGCATTACAACAGAGAAGACAGGGTGTTTAGAGGTGATGGCAGATGGTCGAGTCCAACTCTCAGCTGAGACATGGTCGACATAGTGTACCACTGAACCTGAACGGCATTAATCGATGCTGCTGTTGTGTCTACATCCTGGCAAAGTCCGCCTTTGTTGGCCGTTTGAGTTCATAGTTAATACGTAGACATCCAATCTAATTGTGTGTCTTAACACCCAAACGACCTATATTTGTTTGTCAGTCCTTTGTACATGTTACATGGAGCCGTACTTGCGTCTCTTGACGCTCTGTGGACCTCCTTGATACATGTCAGTCCTTTGTAACATGTTACATGGAGCCGTACTTGCGTCTCTTGACGCTCTGTGGACACCCTTGATGCATGTCAGTCCATTGTAACATGTTACATGGAGCCGTACGTGCGTCTATTGACGCTCTGTGGACCTCCTTGATGCATGTCAGTCCATTGTAACATGTTACATGGAGCCGTACTTGCGTCTCTTGACGCTCTGTTGACCTCCTTGATGCATGTCAGTCCTTTGTAACATGTTACATGGAGCCGTACTTGCGTCTCTTGACGCTCTGTTGACACCCTTGATGCATGTCAGTCCATTGTAACATGTTACATGGAGCCGTACTTGCGTCTCTTGACGCTCTGTGGACACCCTTGATACATGTCGGTCCATTGTAACATGTTACATGGAGCCGTACTTGCGTCTCTTGACGCTCTGTGGACCTCCTTGATGCATGTCAGTCCTTTGTAACATGTTACATGGAGCCTTACTTGCGTCTCTTGACGCTCTGTGGACCTCCTTGATGCATGTCAGTCCTTTGTAACATGTTACATGGACCCGTACGTGCGTCTCTTGACGCTCTGTTGACACCCTTGATGCATGCCAGTCCTTTGTAACATGTTACATGGAGCCGTACTTGCGTCTATTGACGCTCTGTGGACCTCCTTGATGCATGTCAGTCCTTTGTAACATGTTACATTGAGCCGTACTTGCGTCTATTGACGCTCTGTGGACACCCTTGATGCATGTCAGTCCATTGTAACATGTTACATGGAGCCGTACTTGCGTCTCTTGACGCTCTGTGGACCTCCTTGATGCATGTCAGTCCATTGTAACATGTTACATGGAGCCGTACTTGCGTCTCTTGACGCTCTGTGGACCTCCTTGATGCATGTCAGTCCTTTGTAACACGTTACATGGAGCCGTACTTGCGTCTCTTGACGCTCTGTGGACCTCCTTGATGCATGTCAGTCCTTTGTAACATGTTACATGGAGCCGTACTTGCGTCTCTTGACGCTCTGTGGACCTCCTTGATGCATGTCAGTCCATTGTAACATGTTACATGGAGCCGTACTTGCGTCTCTTGACGCTCTGTGGACCTCCTTGATGCATGTCAGTCCTTTGTAACATGTTACATTGGGCAGAACTGGCGTATCTTGACGCACAGTGGACACCATTGATACATGTCAGTCCTTTTAAACACGTAACATGAAGCCGAACTGATGTACCTTGACGCTCTGTGTTCACCCTTGATTGCATGTCAATCCTTTTTAACACGTTAAAAGGAGCAGAACTGGCGTACCTTGACGCTTTGTGGTCACCCTTGATTGCATGTCAATCCTTTTTAACATGTTACATGGAGCCGATCCGGCGTATCTTGACGCACAGTGGACACCATTGATGCATTCAGGTGGTATCGCGGCGGGTTTCACGATATATGCTAATTATTATGAGTCTGTATTATGGCATATAGTCCTGAAACTACTTAACAAATCTGTTGTAATTGGTGAACTTTTCTAAAAGTGGCGCTTTCCGTGCGCGGAAATGTGCAATGATAAGATTTAATTATACAATGCGATTAATAGGTTTCACTTAAATGGCGACGTCTCTCTTTGTCGCCTCTCAAGGAAGGTATGACAAAACTGCTTCCTGCACGTCAAACATGAGTAATCATTGCAGCGTCTGCCTCGAGAGGGAGCCTCAGTGTCGGGCAGGAGGAAGATGAAGAAGGGGCCTAAAATACTGGTTTACTGCTGTCAAAATGGCAGCCGAGTTCGGAATGTATCATTTAATCACAATCCGCTGGACCTTGAAGAAGAGGCTCCTTTGGATCTAGCCGTGCCCCTCATGGGCTACGCTGCCCCTGTGGTCATCTTCCTGACGCTGGTGTTGAATGCTGTCGTTGTCGTTGTTCTCACTCGGCGGCGACTCAGGTCGCCCACAAACGTCATACTCGTCTCCATCGCAGCCTGTGATACATTCACAGCATTGTTCTCATTACCTGGATATATGTATACGTACACTTACGAAGGTTACCGGAATTACCCGAGTATGGGATGGTGTTTTGTGTTGATCTACCTATGCCGGTTTACCCCACAAGTTCTCCACACAGTGTCACTGTGGTTGACAGCATTACTTGCGTTTCAACGTTACGTAGGTGTCGCTCAAATGGTGTGCAAAGCTTGGATCAGTTCTTACAAAGGCGTGACGTTGTCGATCGTGTTTCTAGCCATACTTTCGTTCATATCTCACTGTTTTCAGCTCGTTCTTGTCCCAAGACCGTTGACTCTGGCCTGTGAAGGTTGCGATTCTGTTGTTAAGGTCCTAAACACGTGTTTTTTACATTCATACAACGATACATACCTCACCCGCGTGGATACGCTGCTGCGACTTATCTTGGCACAGTTACTGCCGTGCTTCCTTCTTCTAGCCTTCAACGTCTGTCTCATCAGATCGACCTACAAGAGTCATAGATACATGCAACGCTTGGTTGTGGGACATAAACCGTCCGAATACACAGACACCAGAAACACAATCCGGATATCGTTGATGCTTCTTCTCGTAACGTGCTTCACGTGGATTTTCGAGATGTTTGTGAACTTAAATCTTGTTTTAAATTATGCACATGATGTTGTGTCCCCGGATACCCTGAGTAGTCTCGTTCTTATATGCAATTTTACTACACTACTTTCATTTCCTCTAAATTTCGTATTTTATTTCACGTTCAGTTTTAACTTCCGGGGCGGGATTTTGTCCTTTGTGAAAACGAGGCTAAAGCGGAAGCTCGCTCCTAGAAAAGTGACATCTGGTGGGGATGGGCGCAGAGGCAATACATATGTTTTCAGTCTTATCCATCTACATAAAAAGAGTACAGGAACTGATGAATAAAGAACTTTGAAGACACATTACAGCAAAATGTGGTAAACTACAGATTGTATAAGGAAAGGGACAAAATGGTATAATTGAGAATTTAGAATAGTTGCGTCCCTTAATCTTGCCAGGATCCGCTTGATGCTGATACGATTCTTAGATTCGCCTCGATAACGATTCTTGATATTTGAGCATCATACCCGCGCCCGGAGGTTTGACCAACTGGATAGCGTGTCCGGACTTTATGACTTGGAGTGAGTGTGCTTTTACGCTGCTTTTAACAATATTCCGGCAATATCACGGCGGGAAAAACCAAAAATGGTCTTCACACATCGTACCCGTGTGGGGAATCGAATCTGCGTGACGTGCGAACGCTTTAACTACCCAATCGCCCCTTATACTTTTGAGCTTGCATCTCCTATAGAGGTGACGAGCCGCCAAACAACTGATGTTATGCGAGTACCGTACTCCTGACGTTGATAGTTTAGATTTATGATGTATTGAAGTGAAATATACATGTACATATTTTGGAAATTCTGTACTGATTTATTGAATGTCTGCTTGTATACGTGGTTGTGTCGAATGTTATCCTGCCTTTTGCTTCATTGTGACAATAAATGTTATGTTGGTGTTTTGCAATAATTCGTTGTTCGGCATGGAGTTGCGCCCCTTAGTCGTGCCAAGATACGCATAATGTTGGTTCGAATCCAAGATTAACCCCAAATATGATTCTTGGTATCTCAGCACCCGACTGCACAAGGGGTTCACGGAAGTGAATCATAGTAGACGTCTATGATATTAGGCTTTCCTCTAACACTAATGTGAAACGCCGTGGAATTACTGGAATACTGTTAAAACAGCACTTTACTTAAGCATAGATTATTCCTACACGATACGCCTACCAGATTTACACCGCATGTGCAGGGAAAGCGGACAAACGTTGGTTCGATTCCCGGTCGCGTCATACCAACATACGTTAAAAGATGGTAAGAGATCATCCTCAAATTTGCATTGATTCCAGAGTATGTCTATCAACAATCGAAAGTTAAAGTTTAATGACGCATATCAGATTACGTGTAGACTACCAATACTTAGTTCTTTATATTAATTAAGATGCTTTTATTCACGATTATATTGATAAATGAAACGAACTTATGCAATAAGCTGAAGTGCAATAATCGCGACGTTACACCTCATTTCAGGTCACCAAATACCAATAGACGACGACTTCCGTTCCTATGTTAATGTTAGCCATTGCCAGGTGAGCTACAGTGCCTAAGACGAAGATAGATCGTGTACAAACGCATTGGTCACTACATGGTGCTTCGAGAGTAATCCTATCCAGACTTGCGTTTGAAGAGGAACACGATGATCCGTTGTCCACAACATGATGTTGTTGAGAGACGTGTTCTTGCAAGCATCGCCTGCATGCACAGAGAAACAATGCCACACCAGTGGGACACAATGCCAACAGGGATAATTGATGGCTGAAACCGAAGTCGACAATGGTGACGTTGGCAAAGGTTGTTGACGTTGAGCAATCATTAGTGTCGGTTAAGGTTAGGGCACTTGCATAATATTCAATGTGTTAGCGAAAGGTCATTCCAACCATCGAGTATCATATTACCATCTTGATTAAGGTTAATTCAGAGAAGAGTTTAAACAAAGAGGAACGAGTTTAGGAATGAACAAAATCAGACAGCCACGGGCACGCAGCTGTTAATCGTACAGTTTTATATTTTTTAATTTATTCGGGAAAAGAAATAACAAATTATGAGAGGTATTACCTTGCCCTATGTGACTCCCGACATAGTAATGGGCTAGATTCAGATTCACAGCAGAACGCTGTAAGAATGCATCTCAACCTATCTTATAGATGACGCGACGTATATACATCAAGGAACCAGTATGCATGAAGTGGGTTAAATAAAGCGCGTGACATTTCCGTTATGCTTTGCGCACTGAACGAGATTAATCTGTTCACACTGACGATGACGTCACGATTAATAGTGCGCGTCGATGAATAGGTTTGATAGAACACTGATTGTTTTGACACAATGTATATCGCTCAGAGTGAGTGAGTGAGTGAGTTAGTATGGTTTTACGCCGCTTTTAGCAATATTCCAGCAATATCACGGCGGGGGACACCGGAAATGGGCTTCACACATTGTACCCATGTCGGGAATCGAACCCGGGTCTTCAGCGTGACGAGCCAACGCTTTAACCACTAGGCTACCCGACCGCCCTATATCGCTCAGAAAAGGCAAAGGCATATATGCCAAAGTTGTTGTTACAAAGATGCTATGTGAATAACACGTACATCTACACCATGGGAAACAGTGCATTGTGGGTCCACATATTGTTCCAACGAATGCTATGTGAATAAAACGTACATCTACACCATGGGAAACAGTGCATTGTGGGTCCACATGTTGTTCCAAAGGTGCTATGTGAATAACACGTTCATCTACACCATGGGAAACAGTGCATTGTGGGTCCACATGTTGTTCCAAAGATGCTATGTGAATAACACGTACATCTACACCATGGGAAACAGTGCATTGTGGGTCCACATGTTGTTCCAAAGATGCTATGTGAATAACACGTACATCTACGCGAAATGAAACAGTGCATTGTGGGTCCACGTGTTGTTCCAAAGATGCTTTGTGAATAACACGTACATCTACACCATGGGAAACAGTGCATTGTGGGTCCACATGTTGTTCCAAAGATGCTTTGTGAATAACACGTACATCTAAACCATGGGAAGCGTGAATTGTGGGTCCACATGTTGTTCCAAAGATGCTATGTGAATAACACGTACATCTACACCATGGGAAACAGTGAATTGTGGGTCCAAATGTTGTAAAACAACGTGAGTCGGAGATCGTCAATAAAGCTCTGGACATCCCTGAATCGTCAGCTGAGGGGGGAGTAGATGTAGGCGACAGGTCTGTGTTCCGTGTTAGTGGATTCTCGAGTGCTCGTTAACACGTGTGCTTCGTCTTTCTATCGCACACGCGTGTAATGTAGCATACCCTTGTACACTGTCCCTGTTGATATTACTGTTGTCGATCCTCCCACACCTCCTGATCCATGTAGCTGCCTCTAAAGACATTATGCTTTGTAGAAGTTGGTAGTGTATCGGATTCTTGTAAATCGACAATATAGGCCCGTCTGAGTGTCCGCAGCGTTGATTCTGAGAGGTCTTTAAGTCAAGAAGTTCCGATCCAAGATCGCCAGACGCAAACCGCATGCGACGCACACCGCACGCACATCTCACGCGGAGCAAACGGCACGCGACGCACTGTATATTGCACGTGATATACTGTATACGTCATGTGATAACAAGCAAACATTTCTGGTACTTACATTCTTATCCGGAATCAAACGGGTTAAAACAGTCTGCATACTTGTTATAGTAAAACGATGTCTGATTACATGGATAGTCACTGGACTTTGGCGTCGTAATAATCTGAGCAGAGTGGCGTCCCTTAGTCGCGCCTGGCTCCGTTGACTGTGGGATTGAATCCCGGATTCAACCATATTATGATGATTGGTCTGTCAGTACCATTTCAATGGTTTGTAAATATCCACGACCTGCGTCGCTGTGTACCTTTTCCACGAACATTAAGCTGACAGTGTTCCATAGTTGAAATCCGCGTTAATTTACACCCAACTCACCCATACAGTTATTCAAAAGTAGCATTCATAAAGACGCGAGTAATGTAGTACATATATGACTCCCAAATAAATGTTCCTTTATTTTCTTCCATCAGTATATGTCTCAAAACAGCGACCTTCATCAAACAGACTTAACGCCAACAATTGACCCACGCACTATGTATGTGGACTGCTTCCGGCTCGTTGTTTTGTGACTTCCATCAGCTACTGTTACTGCTACTGGTAATGGGTCTAAACAGTAAGTACATTCAGTTTTAATGCCGACTTAGGTTCTATTACAGTGTTTCAGCTCAATGTGGGAAGAAAACCCATAAACGTGTATCACTACTAGCTGACCACTCATGTCCCCTGACACAGTATGGAGCCAGCCGTAGACCACTGGCTGACCATTCATGTTCCCTGACACAGTATGGAGCCAGCCGTAGGGAGCCAACCTTAGACCACTGGCTGACCACTCATGTCCCCTGACACAGTAGGGAGCCAACCTTAGACCACCGGCTGACCACTTATGTCCCCTGACACAGTAGGGAGCCAACCTTAGACCACTGGCTGACCAATCATGTGCCCCGACACAGTAGGGAGCCAACCTTAGACCACTGGCTGACCACTTATGTCCCCTGACACAGTAGGGAGCCAACCTTAGACCACTGGCTGACCAATCATGTCCCCTGACACAGTAGGGAGCCAACCTTAGACCACTGGCTGACCACTTATGTCCCCTGACACAGTAGGGAGCCAACCTTAGACCACTGGCTGACCAATCATGTCCCCTGACACAGTAGGGAGCCAACCTTAGACCACCGGCTGACCACTCATGTCCCCTGACACAGAAGGGAGCCAACCTTAGACCACTGGCTGACCACTTATGTCCCCTGACACAGTAGGGAGCCAACCTTAGACCACTGGCTGACCACTTATGTCCCCTGACACAGCAGGGAGCCAACCTTAGACCACCGGCTGACCACTCATGTCCCCTGACACAGTAGGGAGCCAACCTTAGACCACTGGCTGACCACTTATGTCCCCTGACACAGTAGGGAGCCAACCTTAGACCACTGGCTGACCAATCATGTCCCCTGACACAGTAGGGAGCCAACCTTAGACCACCGGCTGACCACTCATGTCCCCTGACACAGTAGGGAGCCAACCTTAGACCACCGGCTGACCACTCATGTCCCCTGACACAGTAGGGAGCCAACCTTAGACCACTGGCTGACCACTTATGTCCCCTGACACAGTAGGGAGCCAACCTTAGACCACTGGCTGGCACGTTTTGAAGCGCTATCAGTAGGTTCCTGTACGGATGTGGTGATCGATCTCGGAAGGAAACGAGCATGACGAAGTGTCCTTGATGCGAACTTGATAGTGTCATTTCCGTGCCAATACCATAAACCTTCAAAACGCGACTCATCCTTCTTCAATTTTCAGCCAACAGTTTTCTGCACCATCAAACAAACAAACATCAGAAAGTACATCGATTCCGTTATATTGACACAAGTGATGAGGGCCCAGTCTCTGCTGTCTTTATCGAAGCGTCCGTAGGACTCCAGGTGGAATAGGTTCCGTCAACCTGTGCGTGTATGAGGAGACTTAATGGATTGGATAATCAGGTTTGCTGATTGCCTTGTCATCGGACTCGACGGCGTGGATCGTTCATCGTAATAACAATCACTGCACTGTCTGATCCAGACTTTAATAATCACACGCCGCCGTCATATAGCGTGAATATTGCGGACATCTGCGTTAAACAAACCTATAAGTCCGAACGACTATTAAAGATCAGACAGAGAATTTACGGTACCTGTATATGTGGAACGCAGTAACCAAGTTTCAAAGTCAGTGACGTGAATGCCACCCCCTAATGTTCACCGAATATTGCAACTCTATTAATCATAGCAGAATGGAAATGAACGAAATATTACTTATGCACTTTTATCAGTAAAATGATC